AACATGGCATTTGTAGCTTCAAGGTGGTATATTATAGCTTTCCTTCTCCCTTTTCATGGTTTCTAAAAATCCTGGTGAAGGGTTCTGACTGGCTCATCATGTGTCATATGCTCATTTCCTCTACCAAATACTGTGAGCAGGAAAGTGAGATTCTAGGATTTCTCCGGGTTATGTCAGATTTTTATTATTTGGTTTGGTTAGTTTATATAAAGTATGAAATTTCATCAGATCTTTATGGTGAAGGAGTTTCAGGAAGATCAGTGCTTCATTATAACAGAAGAGTCATCCACTAGTGATTTTGCTCAACCCGAACCACTAGATTTCCAAAGACTCAAAATGGTCACTTTCCAAGTTACCTAAAACTGAACTAACTACTTTCCCCCTATGGGATTAGCATCCTGGGACTGTGAGGAAAACATCCGTATACTTTCAGGCATAAACAGATGAAAATTTATGTGCCTGATTGTTCATATATCACTAAAGCTATATCTTTCAATTCACTAATTCTATGAATATGGAGGTATTCTTGAGAATAATCTTATAGTTTATTATTTGCACATTCTCAATAGTTGCATATGACAGACTATTACTGTTTAGAAAAACTGGATGAAAGCTCTCAATACAAAAGATTTCTGTGAACTTTAGAATGGTAATCCAAAAGCTTCCACTAGACTGTTGCGGACGAAATGACACAAAGACAAGACACACACAAAAGACAGACACAGACACAACTCCGGCCGGAGGATCAATTCTACGCAAGCCCCCCTTGTGGTTTATTTTATACCCCAGTAACTGGATACAAACTGAAATCTACAAGATGCATTCCTTTACCAAATAAGGGCAAGAAGCCAACACATTCCAAGGACAGGGGGGAGCAAAGGGAAGAAGCGACCACAACATGTTTACTAAGAGGCCTGCTCACAATTCCAGCCTCCTCCTTATTTCTAAGGAGGTCTTGTTCCCTCGTGTGCTAGCTGATCATTAACCTTGGATATTGTGTGCAGGCCCCTTGGCAGAACATCCTGTTTGCAGGCATGATCTGCCCAGGCAGAGAGTCCCGTGTGCAGGCACATCTCTGCATCCCTAACCACGCTTTCTTGTGGTCACTGTCGGGCTCCCACACTAGACTAGCTGGGAAAAAATCTAACTGAAAGTATTAGGGTAAATACCTAAAAGTTTTGTTGCCCAGCAATTGTATAGAGACAAACTTAGTGATGTGATTTAGATTCTTGTGTTCCCGATGGAAGGGTGAGCCTTAGAATTGAGCTACCAATTGAAATTTCCAACCTCTTCACATACTTACCTGATATGCTGTGGAGCCAGCAATCACAAATCTATACCAAGAAACATATATTTACCTTATTTGAAAAAAAATGAAGCAAACATTTCAAATGCACTGTGTAACCTTGAAACTTAGTAAAATGTTGCACTCCTTCCTGAAAAGGACCCCAAATCTATAACCAAAGAAATTGGCTGTATTGTAACATGCATGATCAACAGGTGACCTAAATTTTTTGAACCTCTTATCTGTATTTTGCCTTAAAATAATACCTAAAAATAGCCTAAAGTGTGCATTTTGCATGTGCTAGTTTGGGACGCATTGAATCTGAAGCAGACAAAGAAAAAATATACTTCCCAAATTCACGCTGAGAACATTAGTGAATGTGGATTCAAAAAGCCCTCCTCAGAAATCATGCTGTGATACAATGTAAAGGGTAATAAAGGAGGAACTCATGTTAGCATCCATCATATCACTTAGAAAATTAATGGAAAGAGACCATCTATTTCTCTGAAAGGGTACGCTAATTATGAGTCACAGATACAAGTATAGAGGCAACTTTCTAACCCAAAAACATTGGAAAAGCTTCGGTAAAAACCACTTAGTTACAGGTAAAAAAAGGATGACAATGTGGAACTATGAGATTCATTGTGAAGAGATATATTTAGCTGATATTGATTATATTCTTGAGGCCATCCTGTTTTGTTCTCTGTTTTATTGAGAAATAATTAATATGTATCACTGTACAAGTTTAAGGAAGACAGCATGATGGTTTGATTTACATATATTATGAAATTATTACCATATATTATGATTAATGATTACCAGTAATGTTAGGTTCAGATGGCTAACATCCATCTTCTCTTATAAATACAATAAAAAAATAAAGAAAAAATAAAGAAAAAAATTCTCTTCATAATGAATATTCATAAGATCTACCTATGAACATGGAAGCATAGGTATGTTTTTGAGTTAGCAACACTTGTTATCTTTTTTTTAAGTTTATTTATGTATTTTGAGAGAGGGAGAGAGCATACCAAGAGGGGAGGGACAAAGAGAATCCAAGCAGGCTCCACGGTGTCAGCACAGAGCCCTATGTGGGGCTCAAATCCATGTACCATGAGATCATGACCAAACGGAAACCAAGAGTCCAACGCTTAACCAACCGAGCCACCCAGGTGCCCCTCTTTTATTTTTTATAATAGTCACCCTAATAGGTGTGAAGTCATATTTTGGTTTTGATCTGCATGTTCATTGCCACATTATTCACAATAGCCAAGATATGAAAATAAGCCAAATGTTTATCAGCAATGAATGGATAAGGAAAATGTAGTATGTACAGACAATATTATTTAACCTTAACAAAGAAGAGAATCTGGCCATTTATAATAACATGGATAAACCTAGAAGACATTAAGCTAAGTGAAATACGAAGGACAATTATTGCATAATTCCACTTATAGGTGGTATCTGAAGTAGTCAAATTCGCAGAAGCAGAGAATAGAATTGTGGTTTCCTGTGACTGCAAGGAGGGGGAGATGGGGACATGTTCAATGGGCATATAGTTTCAGTTATGCAAGATGAATAAGTTCTAAAGATCTGCTGCACAACAAATTGCCTATACTCAGCAGTATGATATTGTGCACATGAAAATATGTTACAAAGATAGATCTCATGTTAAGTGTGTTTACCACTCTCAAACACACACACACACACACACACACACACACACACACACACACAAGGAAATTTTTGGAAGTGGTAGACATGTTTAGTGCCTTGATTGTGATGATGGTATCATGAGTGTATGCACATGTCCAAACCCACCACAAATTGTGTGCAATTTTTGTGTATCAATTATACTTTAATAACACTTTAAAAAATTAAAAAGATACATGTATGGCAAGTTTTACCTCCTGACAAATATATGGCAACATTGTGTTCAGATATTTTTAAGAAATAACACTCCTACATTTTTCTTTAAGTACTTACAAGATTTTCTAAGCACTAGAACTGACTCTCCATCTTAGTTGTATTTCTGATTATAATTATAAAGAATATGAGTATGTACGAAAATTGACACGGTGTTTCTGTATCAAAAAGTACCAAGATCACGTGCCTCACTGGCTCAGTTGGTAGAATGTGCGAATTTTTTAAAAATGTTTTTTATTTATTTCTGAGAGACAGAGAGAGAGACAGTGTGAGCAGGGGAGGGTCAGAGAGAGAGGGAGATACAAAATCTCAAACAGGTTCCAGGCTCTGAGCTAGCTGTCAGCACAGAGCCCAACGCAGGGCTCAAACCCACAAACCGTGAGATCATGACCTGAGCTGAAGTCAGATGCTTAACCAACTGAGCCACCCAGGTTCCCAAAGTGTGTGATTCTTGATCTCAGGGCTATAGTGCCCCACTTTGGGTGGGGAGATTGCTTAAAATTAATTTTTTAAAAAAACGATATTAAGATAAAGAAATTAATTTAAAATTGTTTGTAAGGCTTATTTTTTTTAAATTACCAACAGTAAAACAATGAAAAATGGAAAGTAAAGTGACCAGTATGGACAATCAATCCAGATCAACCACAACTTGTTATTTGCTGTTCTATTATCTTAATTACAAATCATTACAATGGCTTTTCCTCCAGTAAAATTAAAACTAAAATTCATGCTTTCAATCTGGTCTATAAGAAGCAGACATACGTTCACTATCCAGCCTAGGAAACATATATGTGTATATATATGTAATATATACATGTATGTATGTATGTATATATGCATGTATGTAATATATATATATATAAAACACCATGACCTCTGAAGTCTTGTGTAAGCCCCTGCCCAGTTCAATCTCCCCGTATCTCTCCAGAAATAACTATCTTGACTTTGTGTTTACAGTTTTCTTGATTTTTTCAATATAGTTTTTAACATCTTTTACTACCTGTATATTCAACCTCAAATTAATGTATTGTTTAATGGTCTATTCATAAGCTTTATTTAAGTAGACTCAACTGTGTGTATTTTTACTTCTTTCACTCACTAGTCCCTTAACAGAATTCAAATATGTTGATCCTCTATCTTGTTATTTCATTTTGTTCTACTCTATACTCCATTTTATGAACACACAAAATAATGTTGATATAGTCTAGTATGGATAGACTATTGGCCTTTCCATTTTTATTTCAATGAACAATGTTGCCATGAGAAATCTTGTGCATCAGGAATCTTGCTGAATCAAGGAAATGTGTAGGTTTTCCAAAGGAACTGCATGTGTTAGGACTCCCACAAGCAGCATGTAAACAATGTTCCATATCCTCAAAAACACTTCATACCATCTGACTCTTATTTTTGCCAGTTTGGTCAATAGAGATAGCAAGTCCATAAGCCTTTAATTTTCACTTCAATACTTAGTAATGATATTAAGTCTTCTCATACATTTACGGGCCATTTGTGCTTCCTTATCTCTGAACTACTTATTCATAAGTCTTACTAGTTTTACTATTGCATTGTTTTCTTTATCCCATTAATATATATATTTGTCAGTTGTACATAAAGTAAATAGCATCCACTTTGAGGCTGTTGCTTCACTCTATTATGATGTCTCTTGATATACAGAAGACTTTAGGTTTAATGAGCTCATTTAGGTTTAATGAATCTTAGCCATTATGATTTATATTTTGTGTGCTAAGAATAATGGATTATTCTTTTTTGTTCAGTGCATGATACTTACTATCATTATACTTTTCTGGTGCTCAAATGATCAAATATGTCAAGAGGGAGCCCCTTCCAGATGGTCTTGTGTCATTTTTTATATCAACTTTATTCTGGCACATGATAACTCAGTCTCACCATGTGCTTTCCTGTCCCAGACCAGGAATCAACCATTTCTCTAAGAAGCCTTCTTCCTTTTTTCATGATGAATTTTACTTTAGAAACCAAAATCCAGGCAACTGGTGTTCTAAATGCCACTAAGGTATTCTTTTAGGCCCTTTTTGTGAAAAAAAAAAAAAAAAAAAAAAACCAACAATTATTATTATTATGAAATATATGGTTTAGCAAACATAAGATTTCATTATCATTTCCAGTGCATAATCAAAATCAGAAAGGGTTTTCTCTCTTTTATTCCTTTAAATTCATATATTATTTTCTCTACAGTGAAAAATTGTAGTTCCTAGTAATAGCAATACAATAATTGATTTGCTGCATTCTATAATACACAAAGAACAGTCTCAAATTGTACTGCCAGAATTTATATTAACAATTAACCCATAAGTATCCCATAAGTAATGTTTAAGATATTTTTTATAGGGGCACCTGGGTGGCTTAGTCGGTTAAGTGCCTGATTTCACACAGGTCATGTTCTCACAATGCGTGGGTTCGAGCCCTGTTCCAGGCTCTGTGTTGAGAGCTCAGAGCCTGGAGCCTGCTTCATATTCTGTGTCTCCCTCTCTGTCTGCCCCTTTCCTGCTCACACTCTGCCTCTCTCTCTCTCTATCAAAAATAAACAAACATTTAAAAAAATTTAAGGTGTTTTTTAATAGAATAAGAATGTGCAATCAGAGCAGTTTCTTCCAAATGTTTCCTGACATGTTTTTCTCCACATACTGTCCACATGTGCATTTGTTGCTTTGTATTATATTTGGGGAGTGCCTTTCATCCTTTTTAATATGATTTTATGTTTTAATGTGTGATATTCAAGAGTGAAAATAGCTTAATGCTTGTTTTAGAAAATACTAATGTACTCCGGTACGATTTATATATTTGAGGAAAATGCAAATTTGGTCTTTGCTCATGCACAATATCATCTCCAGCTGAAACAGGTTGAATAAGAATGAGCAAAAGCATATGCACAGACCTGAAACATACACCAGGTACCTTAGCTCACAGCGTGTTATGAGGCACACACATCCACTTCTGGTGTTACAACTTTCCTTGAACACTCCTCCACTTCACAAAAATACACAAGCTGTACAGGAAGTCAAAAGAAAGCTGGAGTAGCTATACTTATATTAGACAAACTGGACTTTAAATTAAAGACAATAACAAGGGATGAAGAAGGGCATTATATAATAATTACAGGGTCTATCCATCAGGAAGAACTAACAATTATAAATGTTTATGCACCGAATATGGGAGCACCTAAATATTTAAAACAATCACAAACAGAAACACCTTATAGATAAGAATGTGCTAATAGCAGGGGACTTTAATACTCCACTTACAGCAATGGATAGATCAACCAGACAGAAAATCACTAAAGAAACAATAGACTTGAATGACACATTGGACCAGGTGGATCTGACAGATATATTCAGAAGTCTACTTCCTGAGGCCAGGGAATTCACGTTCTTCTCAAGTGCGCATGGCACATTCTCCAAGATAGAGCACATACTGGGACATAAAGCAGCCCTCAATAAATATAAAAGAATTGAGATCATACCATGCACACTTTCAGATCATAATGCTTTGAAACTTGAAATCAATCACAGGAAGAAGTCTGGAAAACCTCCAAATATATGGAGGTTAAAGAATACCCTACTAAAGAATGAATGGGCCAATCAGGCAACTAAAGAAATTAAAAATATATGGAAACAAATGAAAATGAAAATACAACAATCCAAAGTTTATGGGATGCGGCAAAGGCAGTCCTAAGAAGAAAGTACATTGCTCTCCAGGCCTATTTCAAGAAATTAGAAAAAGCACAAGAGCAAAATCTAACAGCTCGCCTAAAGGAACTAGAGGCAGAACAACAAGAGCACCCCAAACCCAGTAGAAGAAGAGAAATAGTAAAAATCAGAGCAGAAATAAACAACATAGAGACCAAAGAAACAATTGAACAGATCAATGAAACCAAGAGTTGGTTTTTTGAAAAAATAAACAAAATTGACAAACCTCTAGCCAGGCTTCTCAAAAAGAAAAGAGAGAGCACTCAGACAAAATCATGAGTAAAAATGGACTTATTACAACCAACCCCTCAGAAATACAAGCAATTATCAGGGAATACTATGAAAAATTATATGCCAACAAATTGGACAACTTAGAAGAAATGGACAAATTCCTAAACACACACTCACTACCAAAATTCACACGGGAAGAAATAGAAAACCTGAACAGACCCATAACGAGTGAAGAAATCGAATCAGTGATCAAAAATCTCCCAACAAATAAGAGCCCTGGACCTGATGGTTTCCCTGGGGAATTCTACCAGACATTTAAAACAGAATTAATCCCAATTCTTCTCAAGCTATTCCAAAAAATAGAAGTCGAAGGAAAACTCCCGGACTCATTTTATGAAGCCAGCATCACTCTGATTCCCAAGCCAGACAGAGATCCAGCAAAAAAAGAGAACTATAGGCCAATATCCTTGATGAATACGGATGCAAAAATTCTCAACAAGATCCTTGCAAATCGAATCCAGCAGCATATCAAAAGAATCATCCACCAAGATCAAGTGGGATTCATTCCTGGGTTACAGGGCTGGTTCAACATTCGCAAATCAATCAATGTGATACATCATATCAATAAAAGAAAAGATAAAAACCATATGATCCTGTCAATAGATGCAGAAAAAGCATTTGACAAAATACAGCATCCCTTCTTAATAAAGACTCTCGAGAAAGTTGGGATAGAAGGAACCTACTTAAACATCATCAAAGCCATCTATGAGAAGCCTTCAGCTAACATCATCCTCAACGGGGAAAAACTGAGAGCTTTCCCCCTGAGATCAGGAACACGACAGGGATGTCCACTCTCACCACTGTTGTTTAACATAGTGCTGGAAGTCCTAGCATCAGCCATCAGACAACAAAAGGAAATCAAAGGCATCAGAATTGGCAAAGAGGAAGTCAAACTTTCACTCTTCGCAGATGACATGATACTCTACATAGAAAACCCGACAGACTCCACCAGAAGCCTACTAGAACTGATCCAAGAATTCAGCCAAGTTGCAGGGTACAAAATCAACGTACAGAAATCGGTTGCATTTTTATACACCAATAATGAAGCAACAGAAAGAGAAATCAAGAAACTGATCCCATTCACAATTGCACAAAAAACCATAAAATACCTCGGAATAAACCTAACCAAGGATACAAGAGATCTGTATGATGAAAACTATAGAAAACTTATGAAGGAAATTGAAGAAGACACAAAGAAATGGAAAAACATTCCATGCTCATGGATAGGAAGAATAAATATAGTTAAGATGTCATTACTACCTAAAGCACTCTACACATTCAATGCAATTCCAATCAAAATTGCACCAGCATACTTCTCAAAACTAGAACAAACTATCCAAAAATTTGTATGGAACCACAAAAGACCCCGAATAGCCAAAGTAATACTGAAAAATAAAACCAAAACGGGAGGTATCACCATCCCAGACTTCAGCCTCTACTACAAAGCTGTCATCCTCAAGACAGTATGGTATTGGCACAAAAACAGACACATAGACCAATGGAACAGAATTGAGAACTCAGAAGTGGACCCAAAAGTATACAGCCAACTGATCTTTGACAAAGCAGGAAAGAATATCCAATGGAAAAAAGACAGCCTTTTTAACAGATGGTGTTGGGAGAACTGGACAGCAACATGCAGAAGAATGAAACTAGATCATTTTCTCACACCATGCACAAAAATCAACTCAAAATGGATAAAGGACCTGAACGTGAGACAGGAAACTATCAACACCCTAGAGGAGAAAGCAGGAAACAACCTCCTTGACCTCCACCGCAGCAACTTCTTACTTGACACATCCCCAAAAGCAAGGGAATCAAGAGCAAAAATAAACTGTTGGGACCTCATCAAGATTAAAAGCTTCTGCACAGCCAAGGAAACAACCCAGAAAATTAATAGGCAACCAACGGAATGGGAAAAGATAGTTGCAAATGACATATCAGATAAAGGGTTAATATCCAGAATCTATAAGGAACTCACCAAACTACACGCCCGAAAAACAAACAACCCAGTGAAGAAATGGGCAGAAGACATGAACAGACACTTCTCCAAAGAGGACATCCAGATGGCCAACAGACACATGAAACGATGCTCAGCATCCCTCCTCATCAGGGAAATACAAATCAAAACCACACTGAGATACCACCTCACGCCAGTCAGAGTGGCTAAAATGAGCAAATCAGAGAACTCTAGATGCTGGCGAGGATGTGGAGAAACGGGCACCCTCCTACACTGTTGGTGGGAATGTAAACTGGTACAGCCCCTCTGGAAAACAGTGTGGAGGTTCCTCAGGAAACTAACAATAGAACTCCCTTATGACCCAGCAATAGCACTGCTAGGAATTTACCCAAGGGATACAGAAATGCTGAGGCATAGGAGCACATGTACCCCAATGTTCATAGCAGCACTCTCAACAATAGCCAAAACATGGAAAGAGCCTAAGTGTCCATCAACAGATGAATGGATCAAGAAGATGTGGTTTATCTATACGATGGAATACTACATAGCAATGAGAAAGAATGAAATCTGGCCATGTGTAGCAACATGGATGGACCTTGAGGGTGTTGTGCTGAGCGAAATAAGTCAGGCAGAGATGGACAAGTATCATACGTTTGCACGTATAGGAGGATTAGGAGGAACTTAATGGAGGACCGTGTGGGAGAAGAAGGGGGGAAATAGGGGGGAGAGGGAGAGAGGCAAACCATGAGAGACTCTTGAATGCTGAGAACAAACTGAGGACTGATGGGTGGGTGTGGGGGGGAGGGGGCATGGGCATGGAGGAAGTCACTTGTGGGGATGAGCCCTAGGTGTTATGTGGAAACCAACTTGACAATAAACTATTTGTAAAAAAAAATTAAAATTAAAATTAAAAAATAAGTGTCTTTGGCCTTATTATAGATAAATAAGAGGGAAATCATTAGTAATTACCTCATATGTGGAAGGGCGGTTTCTTGCAGTAACCCATCTTTTGAAACACAAAAGAGTAACGGGAATATTTAACCCTTTGATTGTTTGTCAGAAGCACAGAACTCATATGAAGTCTGACATTGTCAATATATATTTGCATCTTTAAATTAGAAATATCTCAGCTTCATCAGCTGATGCTCTTATCTCTGTCCCCTTTCGATTTACTAAACATTTTTTTACCCTTCCTCACTTTCATAACCCTCTGCCATTTTTGTAAATTATTTCCATAAATTCAATCATGCTTATCCAATCTGAAAACAAGTTAAGACAAACAAGCAAACAAATTTCTCATCTCTTGTCTGCATCAATATTTATCCTCTCCCTTCACCATACAGGCTAAGTTCTTTCAACCCAGACTCATTTTTCCAAGAGACTACAGTCTGGAGCTTATCTCTTTCCTTATCTTGAAATCAATAATGACCTCCTTTTACCATTTTCAATAGATATTTATTTTCTCTACTTGTATCTCTGCAGCACTAGACACAGGTGGCCATTCCTTAATTCTACCCCATCTTTCAATACAGCACATTTTTATATGATTTATCCAACCTCCCTGAAAGCTTTTTAAAAATTCTTTACTATTGACTCTTCTCCTACACAGTTTCCAAATATTAGAATGTTCAGTAATTGGTCACGTACCTCTTCTGTTCTTAGTCTAATTGTTCCCTCAGTAACTGTACCAATCCCCACGGTTTTAGATGCTATCTATATCCTCTTGATTTCAAAATTTGTACTTTCAGCTAAAATGTTATCTGAAAGCTCTAGACTCAAACATAATTTCCAAGTTGACATCTCTATTTGGATATCAGATGTTAAGAGAATTCCTACGCTATGTGACTCAGGTTGCTGCTTATTGCTACAGATGCTGTCATTCGTTGCTAAGAGCTTTCAGATGCCCTAACAACCAAGGTGGCCCATAACCTCAGAAGAGTAAGAGATGGTTTTCAAAAGGATTCTAATGCTTAAATTATAGAAATATTACAGATGACAATAAATGGAAGATCATGAAAGGGGTCCTTGGTGCTACTGTTTTAACTCCCCGTGGAGAGCACCACTTTACACACTCTGCCTGATGATGCCTGGTTGAATTGACTGATCTCTTACTTGCATGCGCTTGGTCAAAATGAATTCTATGACTCAATTTTCAAATGTATAAAAAAGTTTTTCCTCAGAAAGTACAGCCAACTTGTTGAAATTAAGAAGAGGTGGGTATGCATTCAGCTGACAAAATGTGTGTGAAGTTACAAGCAGAATTTCAAAAAAGGTGACCAAGCGATAACAAAAATGCTCAAGGTAGGGGTGCCTGGATGGCTCGGTCAGATTAAGCATATGACTCTTTTTTTTTTTTTTAATGTTTTATTTATTTCTAGGAGAGAGAGAGAGAGACAACGTGAGCAGGGGAGGGTCAGAGAGAGAGGGAATCACAGACTCTGAAACAGGCTCCAGGCTCTGAGCTGGCAGTCAGCAGAGAGCCCGATGCAGGGCTCAAACCCACGAACCGCGAGATCATGACCTAAGCGAAAGTCGGACGCTTAACCGACTAAGCCACCCAGGCTCTTGATCTTGGCTCAGGTCTTGATCTCATGGTTCGTGAGATTAAGCCCCACGTGGGATTCCATGCTGACAGCACAGAGACTGCCTGAGATTCTCTCTCCTCCTCTCTCTCTCTGCCCCTTCCCTACTCCCACACACACGTGTGCATGCTCTCTCTCTCTCCCTCTCTCTCTCTCAAAATAAATAAATAAACCTAAAAAAAGTCCAAAGTATAAAACTATCAATTTAACTCTTTCTGAAAGTGTTGAATAAGTCAACACGATCTTTCTAAAACAGAAAATGACCAATTCGTATTTGTAGTTTAGAAGCTTGAGTTGAATAAAACCAAGAATTTACACATTTGGAGAATCATCCAGGGTTTTCTATTCTTTAGTGTTGTTGAGATTTATATCACTTGACCTATTTCTGGCTATTGGTTCATTCTTGCTGCTCTTTCATTTTTCTTTTAGTTTACAAATCTAAGTCGGTCTAGCCCTCCCACTCCTCCCCAATTTTGTGTAAATTCCTCCCCTTCTAGGTTTTATCTTAAAGAGCTATTAATTTTTATGCCATTTTAAACAGTAAGGAATAGCAGCTAAAAATTGATGAAGTTAAATAACACAGCTCACTTTGAAGGCTAGTGTCTAATTAGAGCTATTTCAGAGACTGTGTATTACCTCCCTTAAGGTTGACGAAGACAATACCTTGAAGGCCACCACTCTATTGATTAAGCAGCTGGATCCTGCCATTATCAGCTCTCTTTCCTTTTTTGAAATTCGTCCCTGGGGAATAGGACTGGAAAACACAAGTTATTGTACAAGTTATTGGTCTCATTACTGGCACCAAGAAAAAATGTGAAAATTCTAAGCAGAAAGCTAAAGTTTGAATTGCCTAAGAAATCCTGACCTAACTGCCCTTAGGCATTTTTACTCTATAGTTATTTATACAGTTTTGCACTGCTTAACCAATAAAATTCATGCCCATTAAAACCTAGTACAGAAAACATTCTATTTTCTAGTCTTGTCCTGTATTATTTCCTTACACGAACCTTTACTCTTATAAGCTATTAGAACCCTGCCTCCTTTTCTCTTTTTTAATTAGCACCCGCTGTTCTGTGATGCCCAATATCTCTTGAAAAGTAGAGCATATTGTTAGTGATTGATTGCTCTAAGTCATCCTCTTCATTGTTGCCTCTGGAATACAAATTAGATTTGCCCTTTTCTCTTGTATGCCACACCATAACATCACAAGAATCATCCACTAATTGGATAATACCTAAGAAAACAGGAGTATCACATCTTCTTCAATTTCTGATTAACATCAAATATAGACCATGCTTTCTGAAGTCTGTGAATTAATGTCTCCCACACATCATTCCCAAAGATACCTTTATTTTCTTTTCACAGTGCTTGTGCCTATGAAAGCAAGTATCTGTGTCCCCAGCCAGAGCAAGATACTTAACATACATGAGAGCTTTGTAAATGTTTATGAAACAAATGAGTGAAATGGTGAATGTTGGTATTCATTGTTGCAAGTAGCTAATGGGGAAACTAGGATTTACTGGAAGGATTCCAAGTATTTTACAGAGTCTGAGGAACAAGATGAAACAAGGCTTTGGCATAGAATTGGAACTGGGAGTGCTCCGGAAGTCTTCATTATACTTAATTTCAACCCGATATGCTTCATTTTTCTTTGCTCCCAATCCTCTCTCCCCCTCTTCATCCTCTGTCTCTCCCTCTCCTTCTATTCCAGCTTTTGTTGCTTATGCCATCAATGTCACAGGATCCAGTATCTCCAACTGCTTTTTGCAATCCACGTTTGCAAATATAGAGACTTATTTGCCCTTCTTAGTCCAAGTGTCCGTCCCCAAAGTAACTATGGACAAAGGGTCAGATGTACAAGATATAAATAGAGTTGTAAACATGCAGATGAAGGAGAAAAAGAGGTAAATTCTAGAAATAAGTGGTAGGCACACAATGAGACAGGTTCCAACAAGGAGTCGCCTACACAGTGAATGACATAAAGGGGCTTTTAGGTGAAATAATTGAATAATATTTATTTAGACCTTGTTATGTGGATTCCTAGACAATGTCTTGGGATGTGCCAAGATACTACATACAGCCTTTTCATCTTTCAAGTATGCTAGAATATTCTAATGGTGCCAATCAAGTATTGTCTTTGTTTCCACTGAATCTCCCCGTCTGTCTTTGCAATGGCAAGGAACCTGAAAGTCTGTGATATCATCACTTTACCTGCTGATCAAACTTAGAGGCTCTTTGCAGCCCGACTACACAATTACAGTTTGTATTTTGTTTCTCTGTGGTTCCAGACTTATAATGAAATGATTTGACAACACTATTACTATTCCAACTGTTTTGCCACTGCCTCTTTTCTTCCGCCCTTATCCCTGATAATGTATTTTTTAATTTCCCAACCTTGAGGATAAACCTAAATTCACCTTGGAGGAAAAAAATAGATTGATTTGGAGGAAAAAAATAGATTGACATCTGTTATGTGCCCATCACTTTTCTATGCACTTGATGGATATTTCTATTCTTTCCAATGTCAACATCATAAAGTGAGAAATCTTTTTATTTTTTAATGTTTATTTGTCTTTGAGAGAGGTACAGAATGTGAGCACAGGAGGGGCAGAGAGAGCAAGAGATACGGAATCCAAAGCAGGCTCCAGGCTCTGAGCTGTCAGCACGAGCCTGACATGGGGCTCGAACCCACAAACCATGAGATCATGATCTGAGCCGAAGTGTGATGCTTAATCAACTGAGCCACCCAGACACCTCAAGAAATCTTTAATTCAAGGTGAGAAAACTGCAGCTCATGTAACTTCCCTAAGATCACATGGCCAGTAAGAGAAGAAAATTCTCTTCAAATGTTATTCCATCTCACACCAAAGCCTATGCAATTTCCAATACAATACATTATCAATTAATTATTATTGATTTACATAGTCATATACTCCCCATTCTCTAAGTTCCTGACTCACTTACTTTTCTGATTTTTTTTAGCAAAGTAATATAAAACATACAGATGCAAATTTTTGCATTTTTGTTAGAAATGACTGTATTGATATCTAATTGCTCCTGTAAAATATTACCACAAGCTTAGAACCTTGCAACAACTAAAATGCATTATTTTACAATTCTAGAGGTCAAAAATCTGAAAATGAGTCTCACTAGCTAAAATGGAAGTCTCAGCAAGGCTGTGCCCCTCCTATGTTCCAGCTTATCGAGGCTGCCCATATTGGTTGGCTTGTGGCATTGCACTCCCGTGACTCTGCTTCCATCACTTTGCCTCTTTCCAGGACTCTGACACTCCTGCCTTCCTCTTTGACTGATAGGACCCTGTGACTACCCAGGGCTCCTCCAGATAACTGGAAATAATCTCCTCATCTCAATATTCTTAACTCATTCATGCCACAAATTTTCTTCTGTTATGTAAAGTAACATATTCATAGGGACTAGGGATTAGAGCATCTTATTATGCATGATAAAGCCCTAGTAGGGCTTTCCTTAATTATCATAACAATGTATTATAGGACTTATTCCTTAACAGTCTGACTGATATGCATGATGACGAAGATGCATTTATTATTGTTTGATACTGGGTGGAAAAAGAGACAAAAATGATGTCTAAGCAGCACATTATACTTCCACCTATCTTTACAGTGAACAACAACAAAAAACCCCACCTATATTTTGTGTTTTTCTTTTTCACTCATTTTCCAATTTTTTATGATCATTTTTACTGAAAAACATTGTAGACTGAATGTGCCCTTTTATCTTGCCTCTTTCTTCTCTAACAGTGATTAATGATTGAAACATGAGTTGGATATCAAAGAGGCTGGATTGGAGAGACACAGCTAAGGTCCACTTACTAACTCTTCCCCAAGGTGGTCTTGTCCATGCATTCCTGGAGGCACAGCTGGACAGCTGGAAATCTCTAGTAGAAGAACAGTTGCTCCAATAGAGTTTATTGCAGAGCAGGAATAGTGAAGAGGAAATGTGATTGCAGGCCGGCGGATCCTAAGGGGAAGCAATAGGCTGGGCCATGCACGCAACTGTTCCACCAATTAAAAACAGAAAATAAGGAATAAAGAAAAGCAGGAGTTCACTTTTCAGTATTCCAAAGAGCATGAGAATGACCACTGGGGGACCATCAGAGACACAGAGAGAGAAGAAAATATTCCCCTATGAATAATATCTCCTCTTAACCTCCCACCTACCTGTGTTTCTACTTTGAAATTGTGATAAAGAACAGAAAGACAGAAAGTTAAAGAAAGTAAAGAGCCCACATCTCACTAGAGTTTGAAAGCATTTGTTGTGCAGTGACTATGGGACACACTCCTGTAGGCCCTGTGAAAAGCGCAAAAGTATTGTTGAAGGATAAATTGCATATGGTGAGGAGAGAGTAAAGTGGACCTTTAAGAGCACCAAGAGTATCTAGGATGCCCAGCATTGTATCTGGGGATCGCCCAGAGGAATGGTAGGCAGAATGGGGTGAAAAAAATGAGAAGAAGCACAAATGACCTTGCCTCAAGGACACAGAGAATCTGATTCAGGGTATAGGCACCTAAAAAGAAAGAAAACATTTAAATAAATGAATGCATGTAAACTGAATGAATAAAGACATTATACAAAGATTAGTTCTTTAAATATACTTAAAACAGCTGATCTAAATAATTTTTTCTAGTAAGTCCAATGTCTCAGCTTCCTTAGGGACAGAAGCTGATTTCTACTGATTGCTATGGATTGCTTTCTTGCTGTATATAGGCCACCTTTTCTTGTTTTTTTGTATGTCTTTTCACTTCTGTTGAAAACTGGGATCTTACATAAGATAATGTAAAGTCTGGAAGTCAGAGTCTATCCCCCTCCCCACCCATTTGTTATTTTTGCTGTTAATTGCTTAGTGACTTTCATGAGATACTTTTACAAAGTTTGTGTGCTTTTTTTTGTGTGTGACCACTGGCCACTGGTTAATAGTCACCTAATGATTGGAAAGAGATTTCAAGTTACTGAAGCCAGAATGTTTCCTAACCTTTGCCAGGGGCGAGGTGGGGGTGGGGGGATCTATGTTGGGATACACCTTGAACACTAAGCCAAGCAGCTGACAATACTATCTTACCCTTTACTTTCTGCTTGCACAGAGCTTCAGGGGCAGCAAAAGGTGAGTTCCTGGGGCCTTCTCAGGTCTTTTGTGAGCATGTGCACAACCCTGGACATGCACCCAGCTCTACACATTCAAGTGGCCTTCTAGGTTTCCAGGAACATGTCAAAGACTTTCCTTTGCTGTGGACATCTCCTTCCCCAACTTTTCCTTTTAAGCTCTTGGTGAGCCTATTGTTTGCCCTAACTGTTATCTATCTCCTCAGCTGGCTATGAAATTAAACAATTTGTCTCTAACAATTTCACAAATGTCCCCATGGAAGAGGCTTTTCACTCTGTCAGATCAAATAAAAACTGTTTTAAAAGGGGTGTTTTCCATATAACTATCTGACAGATCAAATAATGACAATTCTCTGAGAATAAAATTTTGAAGGAGCTCCAAACCTGTTCTGCTTCTTCTGGTTGATGCCAGGTTTCTAGTTTTCACTGTGATTGTGGGCTGTTGGTTTTCAAATCTACCACAGAGCCTGGGAGAAGAGGGTGGCGATATGGCAAGTTAAATATGACAAATCTTTCTGTTCTTACTGAGATTCAGCCATTTTTATTGAACAAAGACTCCTTGAATTCTGCAAGCTTTTTGTTAATTTCCAGAACTC